ACAAACCTACTGAAGGCATCTATCCTTTCCTTAAGGCAATGTACCTCTTTCATTGAAGTCGAGGATCTCATCTCCAGGATAGCTCTTATCTTGTTTGGATTAGCCTCAATGCCCCTCTTGTTAACCATGAAACCTAGGAACTTCCCTGAGCTAATGTCAAAGGTGCACTTTTTAGGATTTAGCTTTATTCGGTAGGTTTGCATAATGTCAAAAGTCTCTTGTAGGTGTGTTACACGGTCTGTCATCGCCAAGTTTTTTACCAACATGTCATCCACATAGACCTCCATGGTCTTCTCGACCTATGCCTCAAACATCTTGTTTACATGGCTTCGGCACTTTAGAGTGTGAAAGGTATGATCCTATAATAGTAGGTTCCTTTTGGCATGATAAAGGTGATTTTTTCTTGATCTAGAGGAAACATGCTAATTTGGTTGTACCCAAAATAAGAGTCTAGAAAATTCAACAGCTCGTGTCCAGCAATGGCATCAATAAGGATGTCTATGCGCGGTAATGGGCACCTGTCTATGGGACATGCTTTGTTGAGTTTAGTGAAGTCCATTCAAAGGCGCCATTTTTCGCTGGCTTTTGTTACCATCACTTTGTTTGATAGCCAAACTGAATAGGCTACCTCCCTTATCGACCCATTTGCTAGCAGCTTCCCCACCTCTTTTTTCCATGGCCTAGGCTCTCTTAGCATTTATGCTTCTCAACTTTTGGCTAACATACTTGTGCCCCGGATCAAAGTTGAGCCAGTGGGTGGCCACCCTAGGATCAATGCCCTCTAAATATTTGTGGGGCCAAGCGAACATATCCATGTTTCGCTTGAGAAATTCAACAAGGTGGGTGGCTCACTCTTGGGAAAACAAGGAGCCAATTTACTTCTTCCTGGAAAGTTCTCGTCCAGCTCTACTAGCTCGAGTTCTTCTATTTGGCTCTCCCCTCTTCAACATGCTGTCATCTCAAGAGTCAAGCGCTTCCACTTGGAGGGTCTCCTAAGGCTTCTTGGCCCTCATAGAGGCCACAAAGCATTCTCTAACGGTGACTTGGTCTCTTCTAACTTCTTTGATCTTATTGGGGGTTGAAAAACGAAGAAGATGGTAGATGGATGGCACTGCCATTAATGTATTAAGTATAGGGCTTCTAAAGATGATGTTGTAGTCAGAGGGACAATCAAACACTATGAAGTTCACCATGATGGCAGAGTTTCTTGGTGCTATCCTTACTGTGAGTGACAGGGTGATGGAACCTAAGGGATATGCCCTCTCCCCTGGAAATCCAATAAGGGGCATCCTAATGGGTTATAATCTCTCACTGCCTAGATCGAGGCTATCATAGGCTGGTACAAATAGGATGTTAGTTGAGCTTTTGTTGTCCATCAGATCTTTTGGCGTGTGCCTTCTTGACAAAGTTGGAGTCGCCTCCTTCTCTTACCCTCCGAAGATCATTTGGATTTCTTTGAGGGGCTGCTGACGCTCTATGTCATCTTGGTTCCTGCCAGGTGGCGGGGTCTATCCTTTTTTAGCAACGTATTGTTGCAACTAGCTGCGCAGCATGAGCTCTTCAATCTGTCTTTTGAGTTCAAAGCAGTCATCGGTGTTGTGGCCATGATCACGGTGAAAATGAAAGTACTTGTTTGGGTTCCTACGGTTCGGGGCAAACTTCGTCTTTCATGGACAACGTATAGTAGGATCATTTTGTATTTGGAATATGATATGCTCTACAGAAGCATTGAGTGGCATAAAGGCTTGCCATTCTCTCAAAGGTGCGAGGCTAAGGCGGCCCTTGACAGAGACTCTCTCCGTCCTCTTTCTCTTATTCTCTGCTTCTCTTTTATTTTTGTGGTGTCTTTTCTTTGTTCACCCCCATAGGAGGACTAACCTCTTTTGGATTTGGTGACATCCTCGTCATTCATATATTTTTGTGCCCTATATAACAGCTTGGGCATGCTTGATGGTTGTTTTTTAGGGTGGAGAACATAAAACTAGATGAGCGCAGACTTGCAATAAAGGCGGCCATAGTTACCTTGTCGTCCAACTCCTCGATCTAAAGAGCTTCCTCGTTAAAATGAGTGAGATAGCTCCTTAAACTTTCATCCTGATCCTGCTTGATGGTGAGTAGGTGGATGACTGATTTTTGGTGTCGGTGTCCCCCTATGAAGTAGGAGACGAAAGATTTGCTTAACTTAACAAACGAGTGGATAGAAGATGGTTTGAGCTTAGCAAACCTCTGGTGTGCAGACCCCTTGAGGGTAGTAAGGAAAGCTTTTAACATGATCTCATCAAGTACATTATGGATTTGAATGAGGGACTTGTATGTATCAAGGTGATCAAGGGGATTCTTAATACCCTCAAAGATCTCCATGGTAGGCATCTTGAATTTTTAGGATAAATGATAGTTGACAACATCCGCCACAAATAGAGTGTCAGTGCACCTTACCAAATAATCCACTATTTATGGCACCAACACCTTTATGGCGTTGAGGGTGTCGCCAAGTTAGTTTTGTACCTCCTTAATTTCTTGTCCCATTGGTTAGGGACACCCTTGGTTGGATCATTGTAGTAGCTTTCATGGTTTTCATATTGGTTTTTCCCTTCATCCTCCTACGCAAGGGGTCGACATCATGTGAGGGAGGAGGACATGAGGAAGAGGAGCGTGTGGAGTGCTTGGGCAATGAGAAGGGACTCCCCAGTGCAGAGGCTGTGGGACCTCTCCTCTTGGAGAGGGCACAACTCCTCCTACGAGTTGGGGGATGACGCCTCCTATTGCGAGCATCAACTAGATAATCTGCTGGTTTTGGTTCACCAGTAGTTGCATAGGCTCCAGTAACTGTTGCCCAACCATAGGATTTGCTGTGATGGGTTCTGTAGGCGGAGGGGGAGGCAAAACCTCTCCCGGCGAGCTATGCCGTTATCCTCCGGCTATTGATTCATTAATCTGGTTGTAATTTCTATGGACTTGAAAGAAAATAGAAAGGTAGTAGAAAATTTAGTCGTTTCTCACAAACAACACCAAACTAATGATGCACAACATATGTTATGCACAATCAAATCAGTGGAGTGTATAATGCAAGATAATTAATGGAGCAATTGATAGTAACATACAAATATTGAGTGGCTGGGCCGAGGTAACCTAACCACTAAAGGCGACGACGGTAGGTGGAGAACTCTATTAATGAGAGAATAAAGTTGTAGGTGAGAGAGAGAGGGAGAGCAAGAGTAAGCTAAAGGTGTGGTGAGATAGATGTGTGTCCCTCATGTATAGAGGGCTTACAATTTATGGATACGAAGCCCTAGTTGAGGTGGTGGCGTGATGACTAGGCTGCTAGTCTTTCTGGGAAGATAACTACTATTAAGGATAGGTTTATTTTTGAATAATAGTTATCTAGTTGTCTATTCCCCACGTGCGTTAATCTTCCTGGATCTCTTAAACTTTGGACTGAGTTAAGGCCATTAATTAATGGGTTAGGCCTAATTAGTGGCCTAAACTTTGGATTAGTGGGTTAGGCCTAATTAGTGGACCTTGTCGACATCCCCGAGTGCAACGGTCACTTTAATTATACATGACCGCCCAAACAATGGGATTACTCCAGCGTCACTATGTAATCAAAATAGAAACACCGCATCAATGGTCGTTGATATTTACGGCAGTAGTTTCTATGTGAGCGAGTCTCAAAAACTTCTTGATTTTTCTCTGTTTCTTGCCCAAATTTTTTTGCTTGCAGCAAGACTTGAAAACCCATCAATTTTGTGTCATATTTTTTTACAATAATGATTCTTGGACCTCCAATTTTGATGGACTCATAAATTCTGTACCAAGGATATAATGCCTAACATTTAAAACTATAAACTATCGTATTTCTTAGCAATATTGGAACTAGAACTCAATCCAAATGAAATTATGAAAATTGATCTCAAGAAAATATGATAATAGAATTAAAAATTAACAACCGACCTCTTCTTCTTATGACCACTCAATAGGAACCTTATATTTATAGTATTCCATACACCTCTTTACAAGAGTTGTAACTAACTTTATTTGAAAAGTTGGAACTCTTGTGTTCAGGAGTAACTTTAACTACCGATAAATAATTAGTTATATAACTTATCATTATTAATAAATATTAGTATATATTCATATATTTACAACGTTATCTCCAACAAATGGTATAAGAGTTGATGGTAGGCCCACTGGTCTCTGCTTCCACATAATGGTAACGTGATTGACCACTGGACTCTTGTTCTTATCAGAGAGGACTACTAAAGAGCGATTTGAACTGGATGGAAGGAGTAATAGCATGTGGAAATCCCATGTCTAAAGGGAAAATAATTAGAACAACCTTGTATCTCCCCAAAGCAACATGTACGGAAAATTTTCAAGTGGAGATAATTAAAAGCTTTCATGGATTCTACACATTTATGTGTAATACTGTATTCATAAAGTTCATGTTTATGTTCTATCACCATATAGTAAGCAATACAAGCAGATTGGGTTTTCAGTGCATTGAATTATAAAAGGGGTAGCAAAAAAAATGAAGGGGAAAAAAATCTTTGGTTGTTGTTAAAAGAGGAAAGTTTAATCAGTTTCAGGATTTTGTGTACATGAGCGAAATCTCAGCTTTGCATGTATTGGATGGTAAGTTTGTATCACTGGAGAATGACTGTTAACCTGTTGTGTTGAAGTCTCAAATCTCCCGCCCGTTTGAAGTTTATTTCTCACCAAGTCTTGCTTAAAGGCGCAGGAACTAGTAATGGAATCCGAAATTAAAGTTGAAAGGGAGAGAAACAGAGAGATGGAAAACATCAAATGAATTCCTCAACAAGGCAACAACCATTAGGTACGCTATCTCCTTGCATTTCTTTTTCAGTGGACCTCTCTCTTTTCCCTTTAATTGCACTTATTTTCCTATTATTGCCGAGTCATTTTATCCCCTCACAAGAACTCGCAATACCAGGGAATATAAGGCAATTCGATTCTGATACATTTGCAAATCCAGCTCAGGGATGTCTTTCCAGGCAAAAGATCAGAATCAATGGTGTGAATGCTACTTCGCTCTTGAACAGAAGTTCAGCTTATGGGCCATTCTCTTATTCATTATGTTTTCTCATGCCGGTATGCTTCTTTAATTAGGATTTGATACTTGGTTTCTTTCCAGATTCAAGTGATTATATGTTAATTATCCGCTTATTGTCTTGCCTTCTGTTTTACAACTTTAGCCGCATTTGATCCTTTGGATCCATTCGGAAACATAACACTCAAATGGGATGTAATATCTTGGACGCCAGACGGTTATGTGGTGAGTCTCTCTGAAATGATAATAATTTTTCCGGAGTTTTCCACAAATACCAAGAACCCGAATTGAGTCACAAGAAATTATAATCCATGAAACATTGATGAGCAAATTGTAATGAATCCATCCAGGCTGTAGTGACAATGAACAACTTTCAAATGTATCGGCACATCCATACCCCAGGATGGACATTAGGATGGGGATGGGCAAAGAAAGAAGTCATTTGGTCCATGGTGGGAGCCCAAGCCACCGAACAAGGCGATTGTTCGAAGTTTAAAGGGAACGCACCACATTGTTGTCTGAGAAATCCGATAATTGTTGACTTGCTTCCTGGAGTTCCATACAACCAACAGATTTCCAATTGCTGTAAGGGTGGTGTCTTGGCATCGTGGGGACAAGATCCTTCGGCCTCAGTTTCTGCTTTTCAGGTGAGTGTTGGGCTTTCCGGAACTTCAAATAAGACAGTGAAACTGCCCAAGAATTTCACTCTGCTCGGTCCGGGGCTGGGGTACACTTGCGGCCCTGCAAAGATTGTGCCATCCACAGTATTCCTCACAGCCGATCAAAGACGAAAAACTCAATCACTGAGTAAGCTCACTAAAAACCCCTTGCGACCTCTCCCCCCACCCACCCACACACAAAAGATATCTTTTTGGACTAAGCAGTTTGAAATGTTTTAAGAGAGATGGATATCATGTAGTTACTGTGTTTAACGATTTACATGCAGTGACATGGAATGTGACATGCACTTATTCACAATTTCTGGCTTCCAAGAACCCAAGCTGTTGTGTTTCTTTCTCATCTTTCTATAATGATACCATCACTCCTTGTCAGTCCTGTGCTTGTGGTTGCCACAACAAAAAGAACTGCATCATGTAAGCACCCTTTTTATTTCCCATGTATACTTCTATGCTTCTATATATTTTTTTGGTATATTGTGACCTAATCAATTAATTTAATGATGTGATAGTAATATGATTCAATATTATTGTGATGACAGTAACTTTTAAACTTATTTATTGAGACTTTATTACTCTGACACATTATTATATTAAAAAATTAAATTAATTTTTTAGGTATCAATAACATTATTTTATATAAAGTAGATCTTAGTGTAGCATAAATTTATTGAGTAATGCTATTAGGACACGATTTTTTGACTTAAAAAATTTAACCTAGATCAGGTGTACCTGCCACGTCATTAATAAGCTAACTATTTTGGTTTTCTCTCTCCCCGAAAATATGCCTAATCTTTTCCTTCCTCCCCCTTGTCATCTTCGTCAATCTTCCACTGCCTCCCTTCATCTTCTTCGGTGTTCCCCCGCTTGACAATCGACGCCGGCCATCACCGACGGAGCTCCCTGCCACGGATTTTCAACCACCCACTCGAAGATCTTGCCTTCACTCCTTCCTCTCACCTCCCATAAAAACCCTAACTTTGTCCCTCTCTCTTCATCTTCGCCGGAGTACACCACTGTAATCGATGCCGGACCATAGCTGACGGATATCACTATTATGTTGTTACCTCCTAAAATACCTAATTTCAAGCACACAAACCATAATCACCATTTTTATCCGCAAACCAGTTTCTTAAAAAAAAAAATCATGTCCCAATGGCATAACTAAGACTTCTATGTTTGAGTGTCAATTTAGTTGTGATGAATCGTATTGGTGTCAATTTTGTGAACCCGATGCTAGTCTATATCCGCATCGTAGTAGAACCAAATAAAAAATTGTTTAAATCTCAAATAATGCAAATAACATTATACTAAGAATAATATTATACTAAGAAATGTAGAAACTAAGTGCACCAAGTCTATTTTGCCATTTTTTATTCTCTGAAGATCCTATAAAGGAGGTTTTTTTTTTTTTTTTTTTCTGAACAATTATAAAGGAGGTTAAGGGGTCAATCCCTCTATGAATCTGTTTTTATCTACAATATATCCCGATGTATATGCTGAAAACAGAAAGAAATAAAAAAAAAAGAAGGTAAAACACCAACTAAATAGATGATTGTGTTTAATATAAACGTAATTCATTTATTATTCATGTTAATATATAGTGTTATTTTCAAGTTCTTCCAAGCATCAAGCTTATATCTGCCATGATTGCCTTCAGCTAGACATGCTTTCATTTGTAACACCTAAACATCGATGCAATCAGTATTGTGAATGTCGAATGATTGGTGAGCTGTTGAATTTTTTTTTTTTCTGGGCGTTGTAGACCCCTAAAACTATGCCACTGAACTCTGGAATTGCAGGAACGACTCAAAGCGGCTGAACACGGTAGGAATAAACACTCCGAGAAAGGACAATGCGCCACTAATACAGTGCACTCAACATATGTGTCCAATTCGGGTGCACTGGCACGTGAAGATCAATTACAAGGATTACTGGCGCGTGAAAATGGCAGTCACTAATTTCAACTATCGAATGAACTACACCCAATGGACACTGGTGGCCCAGCATCCGAATCTCAACGATATCACCCAAGTTTTCAGCTTCGATTACAAGCCTCTCGTTCCCTACCAATCCATAAGTCAGTGCACACTAACTTTCACAATTTGTTTTTTTTTTCAGCTCAATGGAGAAAAAACAAATAAATTAACGGTACCACGCCGATACCATACGAACATTTTTTTTGGGACAAATTAAAATCCATTAAATCAAGTTATGGATGATTGAGTTCAATTTTATTACTGTGCGGGGAGAATTTTGCACAAGGAGTCACCACCTTGTACAAACGGATATGATGGTAAGGAAACCTTGAGTGACTTCTAAGACAAACAAAAGTTAGGTGAACCAATGACCGGATGCAGCCAAAGGGACTTCGATGCTAAAGTTTGATCGCAAGTCGAAGAAGAGCATGAAGTGAATGGGCTTGGATCGAATGCCATTACTTGGTAGCTGGAGGTCTTTATTTATAGTGATAAAAAGTTGTGTCTCAAAGGAACTCGAACTCTAGGTTGTGACAGAATCAACCTCATCACTAGCTCCTCAAATTTCGGAGTAGTATTAGACTAAGACTCTTGGTCTTAAGTTGAACCTTAGCCGAGTAGGACTCATCTAGCTGAAGTGAGCAAGCAAGGGGAGTGGTGCGGGGTATTTGATGGGTCGTGGTAAGCTACGAGCTGGCCTGTTGGGTCCCTTAGCAGGTTGCCGGTTAGCTAGCCCCCCTTTTTGAGGTGCTGGTCGGCACTTGCAAAGTATAGGCCCCCACAATTTCCCTCATGCCTCTTTTAATTGATCAAAGTAATTTATGTTTGTTTGTTTTGAAGAACAAGGGCTTTACGGGCCAAATTCTTTGCTAATGGGCCTTCATTGTCTCAAGGATTAGGGCTTTAAGTTTCTTCTCTCTTTTCTCCTCTTTACTTACTTCCCTTTGTGTTCCTTCACTTGGTTCATAGATTGGCGCTTGGATGATAAAGGGAAAGGAGAAACATTTATTGGGACATACTTTGCTCATGAGCTAGTCGAGTGATAAGAGTTGCTCGAGAGTCAAGTCGAGACTGATAGGTTCAGGGTAGACATACTTGAAAGCAACTTAAGAATTCTAGAGTGGAGAATGTTTTCTTAAAGAAGATGTTTACTAAGGTAGAGACTCGAGCTGGTGAACTCCAAGAGGAACTTACTAAGGCTAAGAGAATAAGTGAAAAATGTTGTCTGTGATCATTACTCTGGGATCTTGGACAAAGCCAAGAAGAAATATGCAAGAGAGAAAAATAAGTCATTTGGAGATGGTTGGGGAGGAGCTCTCAATGAAGCCAAGATTGATGGTTTAATTTGAGAAGACATTCCATGGCCTGAGAGTGACTTATTGATTCTTAAGCTCATGGAGAAGTTCCTTGGTAGTCGTGGTTTGAGTCTTTTAACACCTGTTCCCCCCGTTCGGAGGTGGCAAATCTTTGAAAAAAGCTAAGTAGCATGTTTAGCAATTATAGAAGTTGTTGGTCATTTGACGAAGACTGAGTAACTTAGAGATCAACCTTAGTGGTTGCATGAAGGAGAAGTAGCCTAAAGGGAAACCTTAGAGGTTGGATGGAGGCGAAGTAGCTTGAAGGGCAATTGTGGAGGTTGCATGTAGATGAAGTAGCCTAGAGGTTCAACCACGAAGGTTGGCTAGAAGTGAAGTAGCCTTAAGGTGAAACCGCGGAGGTTGGCTAGAGGCAAAGTTGCCTAAGGGGCGACCGTGGAGGTTGCATGGAGGCTAAGTAGCCTAAGGGGAAACCTAAGAGGTTATAGTAGATGGAGGCTAAGTAGCCTAAATGGCAACCTTGGAATTTGAATCAACTTACAGGATGTTAATCGTCCAAGCAGCTCCATAACCTTATCAAGGTATAGAGTCATAGCGTATGAACGAGCTCTGTACACTATCGCAAGCTAGTTGACCACTAGCTAAGATTCAGAGTATATGGTTAAGTCTTTTCCCCCCAATCTTAATACAGTTCATACCCCAAAGAGGAGTGCTTTGTACTCAATTTTATTGTTGGTTGTAGCAAATCTAGTTGAAGGGCCTATTCTAGGACTTTTCAGTAAGGGGAGACCAGGACAATGCCTCTTCTTGGTCTTCACTGAGTTGATGATCCATCAACTTGTAGCTCCCAAGGTTGGAACTTGAGACTCATGCACCATGCTACAACCTTTTCTTTGGAGAGTTCAAACGTGAAGTCTGTTATGAAGTCAACCAAAACTTATGCTTTGAGTGGTGTCCTTGGGATGAAAAATGGAGGTTTTGGGCAAGCTTTGAGGGATCTCTTGTCAATCTTAGGTGGCCATCTAAAATACTCTTTGTCTTTGATTTAGTTTTGAACCCGATAGATATGTTCCTTGAATATTGTGTTGATTATGGGATAAAAGCCTCTCATCCCCCTAGATAGGTTCTGTGAAGGATTGGACGTATGTATCCTTCATTTGGTTCTTCTTTGGAGAACACGAGGGCAAGTTAGCTGGCCCCTTGTCATCGTTGACCTTAACATACCTTTTGATATGCTCTTGCAAGTGTGACATGCTATGTGGTGGCCACATTGTGAGATACTTCCTTAATTCAATTTCCCTTGGGAGGACAAACTAGAAAGAAACATATGTAGTCTTATCGTCACAATCCTCTATGTCAACGAGTATCCAGGTACCTCATGGCATATTCGTAGAGAGTCTCACCATATTTCTAGAAAGTAATGTTAGGAGTGTGTCGATTGTCATTGACTCTCGACCGTTGGCTAAGAATTGATAGAGAAATTATCCAGCTAGTTATTCCCAGGCGAAAAATCGAGTTCATGGGTATCCCATGAAACCACTTAAGAGCTGACTTCCCCCAACTAGAGGTGAATATCTTACACATCAATGCTTTATTGCCCGTCCAGAGGGCCATCTTGTTGGTAAAGGCCCAAATTCTGGAGCACAAGATCATATCGACCATCATATAACTCAAATGATGGAAGAGTGAACTTACGTAGGGGGTTCGTCTTCTCGTATGGAGCAAATGAAAGGGGTTGTAGTCATCTTGAATAGGGTTTGTCTTGACCTTTCCTTTGTTGAATATATGAGATCATATTGATCGAGGTTGTGTTGTAGCCAGGTGGCCTCTTCATGAGTTGGTTCAAAACGCCTACGTTTTTCCCTTCCAAAATCATCATTCCAATGACCTCGCCTAGGATGGTAAGTTGAATTCCAATGTCACTCTACATTCTCTAGAGGACAACATTCTCTATGCAACTCACCTCCCTTTTCTCTGTGATGAGGGCACTTTTCCCTTGAAGAAGGGTCTTTGTGCATGTGGTAAAAAGTACTCTGTCTCGGTGAGTGCTTGCTTCAACTTTGATGATGAGTCAAATAGTTCTTTGTTGGGGACCGCTCTTGCACTGGAAAGAGTGAGCCTCCTCCTAGTGATCATCACAATGAACAAACTCCTCACTGGGAAGAGTGAGCCTCTTCTTCGTTTGACCTCACTGGCAAGTTTGCCTCTTTGACGAATGAGCCCTTGCTTGAGAACTTCTACCTCCTGCTTCTTCATTATTGTTTCTGGGTACTCGTCTTCAATCACGAGTCCAACTTGAGGTAGCTGTCCCTTAGGCAATTGGGTGTCATGCTTCAAAAGGATCTTATAAAATTGGAGGGAGTAAAGGTACTGTGTGAGTCATTTTTGGGTCGTTGCTTCTTTTGCTTGACAAGAATCAAAGCTTCTAGGTTGCCGAAGAACTTAGTCGTTTTCCACATACGATGCCAATTATGTGGGGAAAATTTTGCACAAGGAGTCACCACCTAATATGGATGGCGATGACGGTAATGAAACATTGAGTGACATGCAAAACAAGCAAAAGTTAGGTGAATCGATGGCTAGAGGAGGCCAAAGGGACTCCGATACTTAAGTCAGATCTCAAGTCGAAGAAGAGTATGAAGTAAATAGGCTAGGATCGATTAATGCCCTTACCTTGTACCCAGAGGTATTTATTTATAGTGATATGATGTTGTGTCCCAAAGGAACTCGAACTCTAGATTGTGATAGGATCAACCTCATCCCCAGTTTCTCAAAATTTAGAGTTGTATTAGACCAGGACTCTTGGTCCTAGGCTGAACCTTAGGCGAGTAAGACTCGTCTAGGAGAGGTGGGCAAGCAAGAGGAGTGGTGTGGGGTCCCTTTAGGAGGGTTGCTGATCAGCTAGGCTCCCCTTGTGTGGTGCCAATCAACACTTGCAAAGTATAGGCCCCCACAATTACTTAGCAATATCCAAAAAGTCACTGTCCATCTTAACAAATTGTGATAGATCCAAAATCTTTTGTATCGATTTTAACTAGAAATTGTTGAGTCATAATTTGGCCTTTTGGAGTCATAATTTGGCTTGATTAGGTTGTAACATTTATCATATTTACAAAATTACAAGATAACAAATTATAATATGACCTCCTTAACTATAACCCATGTCTCACTTGTCACTTCAAATATTATGTTTCCTCATATTACACCTTCAACTACACTTATACTTTCACATTATGCCTATGACAATTATCTAATATAGTTTGGATAGAAGGTTGTGTCACTTTGTCCCAAACTAAATAATGTGATTTTCTTTCACTTGGTCTAGAAAATCTAATGGCACATGGATATTTTTTTCATTCGAAACATGGCTAACGTTTAATTTTTGGAAGTGTGAGACTCATTCAATTTATTATTGACATAATAAAAAAAAACTCCAATGGTTAAGAGAAGAGGTGAAAATGCAATTTGTCATAAGAAAAATTCCTACACAAATTATTGAAAATTGACATGTGTGTGCAGATGACACTGCTATGTTTTTCGGCATGAAATTCTACAATGACTTGTTAATGGAAGCCGGACCCCTCGGAAATGTTCAGTCAGAGTTGCTTCTCCGAAAAGACAAGAACACCTTTACACTAAAGCATGGATGGGCATTCCCTCGAAAGATCTACTTTAATGGTGACGAATGTATGCTTCCCCATCCTGATGCATATCCATTTCTACCCAACTCCGCACAGTCAATCTCAATTGCTTTTCTAGAACTTGTAGTTTCTATGATTTTGATGATACTATTCACCTATTGATCGTATCTTTTGGCGGTGGAAAGATAGTTTTTGGAAATGTTGATTGCCAAAAATAGAGTGGTTTTGAGGGAAGGGCTGTTCATATTGAGATGTATGTGTAATCATAATTAGATTGGAGCTTGTGTAAAAATAAACTCACATCCAAAAATATACTCAGCAATGTTGCATGGCTTCATTTATGATGGATATATAGTGCAACAATCAATGGAGTTCTCAAATTTTCATCTTTGTTTCTTTCTGAAACTCAAGATTGGTTCTTCTTAGCCTATATAATATGATTTTGTTCTTAACAAGGAAAAGGAATTTTGACATTACTAGAACATTATAAATATGACTCACATTCAGTTTGAATAGTGGACTACACTCAAATATTAGTGGTCAAAATTGCAATATAATACTCGATTTAAGTCCGAGGTTGAACCCACAGGGAGTTAATATTGGAAATCAAAACAAAAATGGTGAAGTTGTTACAGATACAAAATGTAGTAGAAATATCTTATGGTGTGAGCTTAGAACAACTAAAATAAACTGAATTAAACTGTGAAAATGCGTTAATTGAAAAGATACCCTTCAGTTTGGGGATTTCACATGCATTATATAGGCTATGTTTCAGAAATGTCACCTTACAACAATTAACCACCATTTTACTGGAAAGTCAATAGGTAGTAATGATGTACGTTGAATCATATCCAACAATTGATTAGGTTAGCCGGCAGGTATATTTCTATGCAACAATCAAATAATCCAAGTAAACCAGAAGACAAGTCATTTAGGAGGAATACTTGAATTACACAATCGGCATCTCTGTACCATGCAACAGTGAAACAACTATAGTAAATTAGAAGGCAAACAATTCAGAAGGAATACTACAATTATTTAACCAGTAGGTTGATGATTCACTAATGACGGTTCCGATTTATGCATTGAACCAAAAACATTGGCTAGACCGAGACTTAACTCGTCTATAACCAATCAATACTGTTACATAAAGTCCAATCACGTATATAACTGTATCATGCATGAAGTACATAATTAGTAGAAAGTATGGTATATAGCATTAGGTACCACTCTGTATTCATAACCATTAGCATATTATAAATGTAACCATCCATCAATATGGGAGGTAAATAAAACATTAAAGCATAGTTAGAACATCGGCATTTTCATAGCTTAAACAATATTGTACATATGTTCACCCTTCACCGAAGGGTATAGGCGGATTACTCACGCCCCATTTCTATAGACGAGCAAGAAGTGTGAAACAGTTCCATTACAATACAAAATAAAATACAGACAATCCTTTCCCGATGAATAGTTGAAACACGACCACTGTTAATACCGGTTAGGACACAAAAATGGGAGAGGTTCAATCCTCTAAGTAGAAAGGAATAACATAAACATAGAAGAAAGAAAGCTGTCTGGAAGACTGGTTGAAAAGCTGGTTGGAAGTGGTCTGGCAGGGCTTCGCTTCACTATTTCTGACTTTCTCTCACTCACTGACTGTATTTGACTCTTTTTGGATTTCCTTGACTCTCTGGCTTTCCTCCACTCTCCATGGCCTAAGAACTTCCCAACATGGTGAAAATGAAACTACAGGGGCTGGAGAGGAGCTTGAGGTGGTTGGGCTTAGGCTGACAAATCAGGACATTTTGCTGCAGCTGTTGACCAATGGGAGAAGACTAGGAGGTTAAGGCAGTTTGCCCACTATCCGGATGCCATCACCACCTTCCGGATGGTGAGGATGCACTGATTTGCTTCTTGCTTTGCTTGATGATTTTGTATGGTATTTGCACTTGCCTCCCCAGTTGATGTAAGATTTGATACTTTGATCCTCTTAACTTTGCAGCATTTACGCACAAAACCTTGAAAAATAACACATTTAATGCATTAACCCTAATTTACGCACTAACCCTAATTTCATATAACTTGACCATTGTAACTCATTTGATTAACACAATTAACCTATTAGTCTAATTCATTAATGCACTAATTAGGGTTAATCAGAATACCTCATATATGATTGTCTATCTATTTGCTTGCGTGATATGATTGTGTTCTTAATAAGGAAAAGGAAATTAGACACTACCACAACATTAAGACTAAATCATATATCTTCTCTAGTTTTCACTTTAAGTTGCTCATTGTCAATGACGCATATACAATCAATAGTTCCTTTTAGGAGTCTTAGGGGAGGAACTGGTTCAATGGGACTACTCGATTTTTCACTTATTGTTTTCTTTTCCCTCAAGGTAAGTTTGATTATCTTTTTTTTAGTTAATAAGAACAAACGACATTTTACTCATTTTAGCTCCGAACTCACATTGGTATCTTTGTGGAGTTCATAAATGTGTGAGGAATAGGTTACCAACATCATACATTTGATCTATATAACCGAAGGCAGAACACTTGTTCTCATAAGCAATTCGACCAGGTCATGAGCAAATGGACCAGGTCAAAAGCCAATTGATTGTCTTTAGTCTATAAACCTCATCTTTTATCATTGATGCTCCATTTTGTTACAATTTCATTCATAATCAATTGTAACAGGTACCAACTTAAGTGCGAGCTACGAAACATATCCTAGAATGGTATATACTGTATGATTTCAATTAAATCCCCAAAAATTTAGTACATTTAAGCCCACGATCTTATATTCAACAAATCATGTTCTAAAAACATTATTCAATGATATGTGATTAATAGGATCAAGAACATTCTTCACAAATAATATGTAATAAACAATAAATCACACACAATATAGAGTGGTTTGGTCCACTCAGCCTACATCCACTCTCCTACCACCTAGGTGGTATCACTCCACTATAAAGGGATTCTAAGGCAAGTAGTGGTCTACAATTGGGAAATTCACTACCCAACCTCAAAGCTACTTTATCTAGGATTTTTGAAGGATTTGAAACCAAGTACATTGCTCAATTCATAGTAAAGTCAAAGTTTAAGGTCTTAAGAACTCTCCTTTGATATTTGCCCTCGTACAAGTGTAGAATAGGTGTGTGGCTTGCAAGAGTACACAAAACAATGGCATTAGAACACACTCATAGTGAGCTATTTTTGCCAAGAATTTGGTGTTCAAGGTCCCAGCCTAAGCTCTCTTGCATGGAGGGGTAAAATGGTCTTATTACCCTTCGTTGGTTCTCTCTCCTAATATGTTAATGATTGTGTATGACAGGATTGGATCCCAAATTCCATCAAGTTTCATATGTGAAGATGAGTGGTTATTTATAGTGGGATTTCCAACGAATGGTTCAACGAGTATACTTTTAACTAGCCTATGTTTAGAAATTGGCAAACCTCTTATTAGAAATAGGCAAGCCACTGCTAACTTCAAGAATATGTTAGTCTAGTCCTCAAAAATGTGTCACACCTATTAATATGACCTACTTGGACTATACATAACTTTCTTTGAGCTAGGAGTGATCCAAATGTTAAAGTCGGCCTTGCCTTAAATCAATTTGACATATTTTTTGACTTTATGCACTATGTAGGCTCTAGTGCTCTTGAGGTTGATATCTTCATTATAGTATAACATAGAGATAATTACATGTGTCTAAAGAATTTTTCTAAAACAACTAAAATAATCGTAGGAACTTTTAATTATTGTTGAAAGAATTATCATCAAGTTTGAGTTTTGTGCATACTAACTTTCAAGTCAAATTTAGTTTTAGAGGCGTTTAAGCTTGATAAGGGTAGCTAGGTAAGTTTATAAAAAATTTTAGGTCAAAACAATTCTATCATGGAATCCGAAAGGTCGAGAAAACCTTGGAGGAGATTATATCGGGTGTGTTAGAAATTTGGAGTTATTCTAGAGTTTAAACACATTTTAAAGAGAATTCAGGTATAAAGGAATTTGACACTACCATAGTATTTTGGCAATTTTTTAATCCAATGTATGATTGAACTTATTCTTGCAACATAATAAATTCGAATTCATGGGCTACAAAAGTGTATTTCATAAAAAGTTCATGAATCAGCATCTCACTAAGTCAAAACTAGGGTGGAAGTTTGGGCAGAAACTTTGGTGTGTTCAAATGCAAGTCTGATCTCAAAAATTATGGTCAGGGTAAAAGGGAGATACTTGGAGTAAGAGTTGTTCGAATGCAAATTTTCTATTTAAATGCAAACATGAATAAATACCACAGGGATGCATTTTAGGAGTTCCTTTATATATTTTTCAATCCTAAGGAGTTTAGAAGAGTCTTGGATAGAAGAAAAAGAGTAGATCGGGATAGATCATGAGGAGATCAACACTTATCCAATCACACTAAATGATAGAAGTAATTTTCTTTGTAATTTGGGTGGGGTTCCTTTTCCTTTCCTATTCATTGAGGTTAGGCTTATTTACATGTAATTTTTGAGTCAACTAAATATATGTACTATCAATCTACAACTCTTTTAAATCAATTGCAACAACATGATTAATTTTCATTGGAAAATATATGATTTACATTCAATTGTTCATTTTTGACTCATAAACCCTAGATCTTGAATAATGCATAGTTGATAGTGTCTTCTTGAGATCTAATGCATGTTTTAAATAAAGTACCCTTTGTTTGATCATATGTTTGTAATTGGTTAATTTTTGGAGTGCACGTAAATCTCAACATATTCTATCGTCATGATGCTAAAATGATGAAGATCCAAAAGCATCATTGAATGGATGAGATCATGCATCAAAGCTACATCAAAAGCACTCAAATGCACTTTCAAGCTTAGAATAAGGTAATGAACTAGATACCTAAGATGATCTATTGATTTAACAGACTTATGAGGATTAATGTAAAATGGAATCGGTATTAGATTTGAGAATGGCTCCTAGTTGTTCTTAAAAGAAAAGTATTTCTAAACCTCTTGTGATTTTTAAAAACAAAATAGAATTGAACTTGCTTGGCCTTGAAAGTAGGTTAACAATCAAGGAATTCCGAAGCATAGGGTATTGTATTGGTAACTTGATAGATTAATGAGGTCATTTCCTCAAGGAAAACGAATGGTTTAAGAGGTGAGAGTAAAAAGAGAATAAAAACCTTGTATCTGTAGAGTTTGTCATAAAAAAAAATTGCACTAAAGAAATAACAATTAAAGGAAAGAATCAGTTGATTAATA